CATCGGGCTCCCTGCTCCGCGGGAAGCCTGCTTCTCCCTCTCCCACTCCCCCTGCTTGTGTTCCCTCTCTCGCTGTGTCTCTCCCTGTCAAATAAATAAAATCTTTAAAAAAAACAAATCCATAAGGTGTGTGACAAGAAGGTTGCTGAAGTATAGCAACTGCCTGACTTGGATGGGAGGTTACACAACTAGAATCAGGATTTGGCACTATACACACACACACACACGTATATATACATACATATATATTTAATAGTTGGGTGGCCTTGAGCAATTCACTATACCTCTCACAGCCTCAACTATCTTCACCTTTAAAATGGAGTAAATAGATCACTTGCCTCACTCCATATATGTGGTCTATATATACATACCATACCTACATACATACGAACATACCAACATACATGAATGTATGTATATATGTATAAAATATGTGGAAATAATGTGTATGTATTCAGTGAATCATTTAGAATCAACATAGCAAAGTTAATGGTTAATTCTGTGGAGTAGCTTGGTAGGAGGAAGCCGAGATCATTTATGTTTTACTTTGTATAGTCTCTGCTGATTGATAAGGAGAATATACACATTTTTTTAAAGATTTATTTATTTATTTGAGAGAGCGAGAAAGAGAGAGAGAGAGAGTACACAAGAGGGGGTAGGGTTAGAGGGAGAAGCACGCTCCCCGCTGAGCCGGGAGCCCGATGCGGGACTCGATCCCGGGACTCCAGGATCATGACCTGAGGCGAAGGCAGTTGCTTAACCAACTGAGCCACCCAGGCACCTGAATATACACATTTTATAATCAAAGAATAACAAATTTTTACTCTAAAAACATTCACGTACACTTATAGTATATGTATTTTCTATATGCCTATTATTATCATACAAAGTTTTTTAAAAATCTCTTAAAAGCTAGTAATGTATCAAATTTATAAAAGACATCTTAGCAGAATATTCAGCACATTAACAGGGTCTCAGTAAATGGAACCCATTAATATTTAGATACCAGGAAATGGTTGACTTTTAAGACCCTCTTTTTCTGAAACTCTTAGCTATAATTTCCTTTCTTCTAGAGAAGGGATTTATAAACTTTTTTATGGATTCTTTCTCAGAATAATTTTTTTTTTTTAAGATTTTATTTATTTATTTGACAGAGAGAGACAGCGAGAGAGGGAACCCAAGCAGGGGGAACCCAAGCAGGGGGCTTCCTACTGAGCCGAGAGCCCGATGCCGGGCTCGATCCCAGGACCCTGAGATCATGACCTGAGCCGAAGGCAGAGGCTTAACAGCTGAGCCACCCAAGTGCCCCAGAATAATGTTTTTAATGCTAAAACAAAATACATAAGGTTTGAAAGAAAATTAATTATATTGAAATATGATTAGAATCACCTCTATTGCCTACATTCATAATTGAAGGAAAACTTCTAAATTCATATAGAAGTTAATGAAGATAAAGATCTAAGTTTTTTCCTCATCCAAGTTTATAGGTCCCCTTCTTATGATATAAAAGAAAATGGCACATAAAAAATTGGCAGCAGTTTATTTACAACACTATTAAGTAACAGCTATTTTATTTGCACAGAAAGCTCATTCTTACTCTTTTATAGATGCTTGGAGGGCCTGCCCAATGTAATATTAAGCTATTGAAGAGAAATGAAAGTGCAGAAGTGTCAGAAAACCAGAAGGTTGTGACCAGTTACCCAAATGCTATTGATAAGGTAAAAGACCATTTATTCAATTTCTCTTCCTGAACTTTAGCACCTGGGAAGATGATTAAGGGAACATTAAATGATCATTTTTGTACCTAAAATTTTCCATGTCCTTATATTTTCATCTTCATGCACAAAATATTTATTCTTTTAGCCTAACCCTGGAATTGAGAACTTTTTAGCATCCTTGAATATCTCCAAAGAAAATGAAGTACAGTCATCTCATCATGAAGAGCCTCCAAGTGAAGAACTTTTGTCACCACAATCATTTGCTATGGTTTGTATTTTGTAGGAGCTTTTACACTATAGTAATTTCACTGTTGTGGCCTATGCGTACATGCCCCATGCAACTGTTAAACAGTTTTGTCTCCCGTGTACTGGTGTGTTACATCATTATTGTCATTTTGTGAGGAAAACCAGGCTGTCCTGGGCAATTTAGCTGTTTGTTTGTTTGTTTTCCTCTTTAAACCATATAGCTCCCTTGCTTTTCAAACATTGCTACCAGGCAATTTGGTTAGGTTAAGCAGAAGGATTAAGTATTGTTTCTATGCCAGGAAATGTGGGTATTTTTTTTCAACTCTAGACTGTTGATTTTGCTTAATTCCTTTCTGAATGTAGTTACCATCTTAATTTTTAACAATGGAACTCATTAAAAGAAGGGTTTATAAGCTCTGTAAGTCTAATGTTAACTTTTCTCTACCTACCCCCACCATCTCCATACCAATCATTTTCAAAACAGAAGGGAACTCGGATGCTTAAAGAAATACTAAAAATTGATGGCTCTGATGCTGTGGACCATAAAAATGAAATGAAGCAGTTTGGTAACGAAGTCACTGTTTCCTCTAATAGAAGAGATGAATATGGACCTTCCTCCCAGGCTAAACAAAATAAGAAATTAAGTACGTAAACTAAGTACTATTACTAACAACCAATATCATTTCAAAACTGCGATTCATTTGGGGGTTTTTTTGTCATGTGGTTTTTGAAGATAAAGCTACTTACTTTTTTTTTTTAAGATTTTATTTATGTATTTGACAGAGAGAGAGACAGCGAGAGAGGGAACACAAGCAGGGGGAGTGGGAGAGGGAAAAGCAGGCTTCCCGCTGAGCAGGGATCCCGAGGTGGGGCTCGATCCCAGGACCCTGGGATCATGACCCAAACCGAAGGCGCCCCCAAAACTACTTATATTTTTAAAAGAGTATAATTAAGAGTAACAAATAAGAGTATAATTTTTATGCTTGTGTCATTAAATAATAATAGAACTATGTAACCAATAGACCTATAGTCCCTGTCTTGTGATTACTTAAATTGTGCTATTGCAGATACTCATTCTGTAGTACCCAAACCTAGAAAAGTTTTCACATTCTAGTTTTTTTCTCAGTAATTTAAAAACAGTTATGTTACTTTAAATACATTATTTAACTTTACTAAGATTTTAAGATTTTTTTTTTCTATTTACAAAATGAAAATAACATTGCAAATGACTTATGATAATTATATGATACATATAAAGCAGTTAGCACTGTGTCTGGCATATTATAGGTACCAATAATTGATACTAATACTCTGTTACAATAGCTTGACCAACATAAAAATAGAAAAAGCTATAAAATCAATTAAAAATAATTAATGGAGGGGTGCCTGGGTGGCTCAGTCGGTTAAACGTACAGCTCTTGATTTTGGCTCAGGTCATGATCTCAGGGTTGTGGGATCAAGCCCTGCATCAGGCTCTGTGCTGGGCAAGGAGCCTGCTTGGGATTCTCTCTCCCTTACCCTCTGCCCCAAACCCCTTTCTCTCTCCCTCTCTGGGGGAAAAAAAAAAAAAAATTAATGAAGGTAGACATTGGAAAGTAGGTACTTAAAACTGTGAAGCCTGTAGCATACCATCTGGCACATAGCCAGATTTTAATACACGTCCATCATTGCTCCTGCTCTCTGTGTCCCCTATACTTTAGTATTTTGCCTGTGTAAATTATCTGCAGAAGCCTCCTAGGAAGAATGACTAAATATAAAAGTAAGTGGGGACAGAAGTTTCTAGAGGTAAAACATTTTGAAATAAACAGATATGAGTTCATTAAGGATCAAAATCAGAGCTTAGCTTCATTTATTTTCTATTTTAGTGAATATTAGAATAAATAATTTAAAATTCCAGTAACTATTAGGAAACTATCATGGTGACATACATGCTCTTAAAAAAGAACAAAATAAAAATTTTAAAACAAAACTGGAAAAAGATGGTTCCACTGTCAAAAACAAGTAACTTTATTTCAGAATAGTGAAGAATATCGTATCTCTTAGAGTCAAGAGCTCAGAATCTAGCCCAAATTACAGAGCTAATAAGTTCTGTGACTTTGGACAAGCCACTTACCTTTTTTTCATCTTTAATAATAAGAGGCTTAGTTTCATTCTTCACTGGGATATGCTCTTGTTCTATTTTTGTTGATCATAAAGAAAGTGAACTTTTAGAATGTTTTTATCATCTTCTATAAAAGCACTTTTTAAAAGGGTTACTTTTATTTTAAGATTTTATTTATTCATTTGAGAGAGGAAGAGAAAGAGAGAGCACAAGCAGGGGGAGCGGCAGGCAGAGGGAGAAGGGGAAGCAGGCTTCCTGCTGAGCAGGGAGCCCGATGCGGGACTCGATCCCAGGACACTGAGATCATGACCTGAGCCAAAGGCAGATGCCCAACCGTCTGAGCCACCCAGGCACCCCTAAAAGGGTTACTTTTAGAAAAACTTTTAAGCAGCATCATTTGGGAGCAACAAAACCGTTTATCCATGTGTCTCAGAATGTAAGATGGAATTTTGACAAGTAAAACTGAAGCCAAAGCCTCAAAACTTAGGTATTCATTGTAAATCAGCTCAAGAAAACTGCTTGTTCAAATTTTGCTTTGCTCAAACATAACTATATAGTCATTGATCTCTCAAGATGTCAGTTTTTGGTAGTCTGCTACTTACCAAATTTTAAAATCTTTATCTTAGTCATGTATCATTAATCAGTTATAATCATCTAAAAACCTCTATTGAATTCTTGGTAATTTTAGGAAATACTAAATAATTCCTATATTTGCTTCATGAGAGATTCCTCTATTATTTTTTTTTAAGATTTTATTTATTTGAGAGAGAGAGTGAGAAATAGCATGAAAGGGGAGAGGGTCAGAGGGAGAAGCAGGTGTGGGACTCGATCCCGGGACTCCAGGATCATGACCTGAGCTGAAGGCAGTCGCTTAACCAACTGAGCCACCCAGGTGCCCCAAGAGATTCCTCTTTTAACCTTTTAACGATTTTCTGCTTGCTGTCTATAAAACCCTATAATAATCACACAGTTCAATATATAATTTTATATATATTTTTCATATATATATATATATCCTTTTCTGTTTTTTGGTAGCATCTTATATGAATAAGCCTCACAGTGCTAGCGAATACCATAATGTTCAGCCTATGGACCATGTGTGTTGGCCTGCTCCCAGCCATATCCCTCCTGTGTCCACACCAGTAACTGAACTTTCTCGAATTTGTTCCCTTGTTGGAATGCTACAACCAGATTTCTCCTTTCTTAGAACACCACAGGTATAGTATACTACTGTTCCATTTATATAACTTCTTTAACTCTGAACTTAAATAAATCAACTGAAAATCTTTGTCAAAAATAATATAATGGAGCTGGGTTTTTTTGTTTGTTTTTTTTTACTTTATGAGCAGCATAGATTTTTACTTCCCACTATGGCTCACTCACATTTATGCCAGAGCCCACAGAGATGCTGACAGAGAGGAACCTGGGCACCACGTACCCTGGACAGATTGATAGAGCTAGGGATCTTGGTCTACAGCAGTAGTTTTCAAAGTTTTGGCCTCATAAACTCCCACTTTTTTTTTTGAAGACCCCCCCAAATTTTTGTTTACTTGTGTTATGTCCTTATTTAACTCTATTGGAAATTGAAACTGAAAAAAATTAAAAATATTTATTAAAAATAACTTCAAAAATTTAGTGGAAGGAGGAGCACTGCTCTACAGTTTTGCAAATCTTTTCCATCCCTAGCTTAACGGAAGAAGCTAGATTCTCATATCTGCTTCTTAATATCAATCTCTTAAGATATGTTTTGGTTGAAATACCTGAAGAAAATCTGGCCCCAGACAGATTGATAGAGAAAGGGAGAGAATTTTAATAACCTTTTCAGATAATGGATATTTTTTGATACTACATTTAAATGTGGTATTTTCTTAGAAGTTAGTTGCAATGTAGAATCTAAAGCTATATCAGTGAGTTTTCTGTCCTCTGTATACTTGTGAGAAACTAAGAGTGGAAAGGGCAAATAGCACTTTAATATTATTATGAAAATAGTTTCGACCTCAAGGACCTCCTGAAAGGGTTTCAGGCTCCCCAGACTGCACCTTGAGAACCACTTACTACAGGAAAGGTTGTTTTATCCTCTTTATATCCAAGTTCTTGATACATTCTCACCTAAAACAGAAAGCAATCTTAAACTAATATTATTACATAGAAATGACTACCTTCTTAAAAAAGTAGAATTTAAAAAAAAAATTTTTTTTGTAAAAGAAATAATGTATAATAGAGAGTTATAACTTAAATGTGAACATAAAATTGGTCATTACCACTAAGTCTTTTAGATTTTGGCAGTTAATTCATATTAATGAAATATCTGCTATTCGGAGGACAGTGTAAAGCAGGAGTCAGCAAATTTTTTTTCAAGGGCCAAATAGTAAATATTTTAGGCTTTGTGGTCTCTGTCACAGCTACTCAGCTGGGCTGTTATGGTATGAAAACAGACACAGGCAATACATGAAAGAATGGACTTGGCTGTATTGCAAAAAAACAAACAAACAAGAAATCTTATTTACAAAAACGAGCAAAAGGCCCAGTTTCCAGTCCTTGGTATAAAGAAAAAATTTTGTTGGCTTTCATTTGCATTAGGATTCTTGACCCTTCAGCTAGCTTAAAGAGCATTTTATTTTGTAAACATTGCAAGATAAGGAAACAATTCTAAAGTTTTTGCAGGGCAACCCAAAACTAAATTGATTGCTCTTTTGAATTTTTGAATTTTTTACAGAATGTCACATGCTTGTTTAGACTAAGCTTGGTGGGGAGGAGGTCAATATCCTAGAGAGATAACTTCATAGACATTCATATTCTCTTTTTTAGACAATGACAGTTTGCCAGGTAAAATTATCTAATGGCTTACTGGTACATGGGCCACAGTGCCATTCTGAAAATGAAGCCAAGGAAAAAGCCGCACTTTTTGCTTTACAACAATTGGTAAGAATTGATCATGACTTCTCTACTAAACTTTCAATTAATCTCTATAGATGTTTTGGTTGCATTGTCTTCTAACTTTTAAATACTTCCATAGGGCTCCTTAGGAGTGAATTTCCCTTTGCCTCCACCAATATTTCCAAATTATCCTCCTGCTATACCACCCGGAACCATTCCTCCAGTTTTTCCTCAACCTACTGGTAAGGTATTTGGCTCTTCTGATTATTTGTTATTGGGGTGCCTGCATGGCTCAGTCAGTTAAGTGTCTGCCTTTGGGTCAGGTCATAATCTGGAGTTCTGGGATCGAGTCCTCATCGGGCTCCTTGCTCAGTGGGGAGTCTGCTTCTCCCTCTCCCTCTGCCTCCCGCCTCATGCTCTCTCTCTCCCTCGCTTTATCTCAAATAAATAAATACAATCTTTAAAAAATAAAATAAATATTTGTTACTGAGTTACTGTTTTTAGAAAGTTATTTTAAGAAGCATCATTTTGAGAAAACCAAAAAATTTCTTTAAATGTCTAATGAATATAAGAAGGAATTGGGAGAAGTAAGTCTGAAACCAGAGCCTGCAGATTCATCTAGAAATATCATTCCCCTTCTACAGCTTCCAGTGTGGCTAAAGTAGGACTGTTCTTTGTTCTGGGCAGCCCCTTATTCCCCAGTAGCAGCTGCCAACAGATGAATTTGGGTTTAAGTCAGACATCAAAACACAGGTGGGGAAAGGGGAGAGAAAACAGAGGTGGAAGGGAAGGAATAAACAGATAAGGTTTTGAAGCTGTGAATATGAAACTGCCCTTGATGATGAAGGAAATGAAGAATGAAGGAGTTTTTAAGCTTACTGTGTATCTCTTAATATTCTCTTAACTATCATCCTCCTTCAAATGTAGAGCCTGAGGGTGCCTGGGTGGCTCAGTCGGTTGGGCGACTGCCTTCGGCTCAGGTCATGATCCTGGAGTCCCGGGATCGAGTCCCGCGTCGGTCTCTCTGCTCAGCGGGGAGTCTGCTTCTCCCTCTGACCCTCCCCCCTCTCATGTGCT